TTTTGCTGTCAGGGGCTGACGGCTGGAAGCCTCTCCATGTCCCTCAGAGGCATGCAACAGTCTTCTGGAAGATGAGCATGGTAGGGGCAGGAATCGCTCATCTCGGAATCACTGAGGGGCCGAAGACATTGAGTCTGAACCCTGAACCAGGAACGCTCAAGTTCAAGTGCATGATGTTATAGACAGAAAGGTGTCCTAGGCATGGGAGGAGAGACAGATCTGTTTGGAGGACTCAGGTCTTAGACCCACCTGCTGGGAGGACTCATGTCCTGGCCTGGAGCACTCCGGCCTTCCACAAAGCTCCTTCGGTTAACCCAACTGCCCAAGAAGGAGATACCAGGCTGAGAAATGAGGCTTCAGCATGTGTGTGGTGTCTCCTCCAGTGCTCCCCTGAACCGGGAGGGCCATACCCAAAGGACTCAGCTGACTAACATGGGCTCTGGGGCTCTTAGCTGGAAAGTGAGGGGTACGCCGCCCCCTGGTGGGATACAGGGGCACTGCAGCCACCTCCCCAGTCATAGACACACAAGAAGTTGGGGCTTATCAAGGGTAATTTATTCGGGATAAAGTGTGCTGCCATGGAAGATCCGCGCTAGTTGTGAGCCATGATCTCCTCGATCCAGGATATGAATGTCGGGACACGAGTGACCCCAAAGGGGATCCCAGTGGGGTGGTCTCTTTCATAAAAGGACAAGATGCCCACCAGGGTCCAGGTTCTGTTCTTGCGGCAGACCAGGGAGCCACCAGAGTCGCCCTGTGGGAAGAGAAGGACCTGTCTGCACACTGACAGGGTTCAGAACCCTGGGCGCCCTCACTGAACCTCTCATGAGTTAGCAAAAATCCGGGGTGTGCCTGAACCTGAGTAAGAGAGACTCCACTTCAGAGGAGACCCCACTCTGCACAAATGTGATTGTGGGCTGGAAGGGACAGTGGCTCCTGGGGTCTGGAAATAGGGGGTCTCCCTGCCAGCAAGCCTATCCAGCGGTACTCCTCACCTAGCAGGCACATTATCTGCAATGGTGAGCTTTGGTGGTGCCCAACCCAGGGCACAGGCCCAGGGACCAGAATGTCTGGCTCTGAGCCCAGGAGGATGCCTCTAGCCGTATGGGGGCAGAGTGAGTGCTGGGTCGGAGCGGTACTTACAGTGTAGAAGCTGATGCCTTGAATTCCAGCACAGATCATGGCGTGGGTACTGAAGCGGGGCCAGAACTTCCTGCAGGTGTCCATGGGGAGGAGGGGCACAGTGGCCTGCTGCAGCCGCGTAGGGCGATTCCTGCCTATTGCCAGAGGACCAGTGTGGGCCAGGGCCCTCATCCCTAGCCCACCCTGCTGGTGGGCCAGAGAGCTCACGCCACAGGCCCTGTCGCCCTCTCTGAGTCATGACCAGCCCGGCACTCTGTAGTCCTTAGAACCTCCAAGGGCCTTCGGGTCCCAGCCTGGGTCAGGCTGACTTTGCTCCAAGCTCAGAGAAGAAACAGCCCTTCCTGCACAACCTGGGGTGGCCTCAGCCTTCCTGCACTCAGTGGGCACAAGGGCAGTGATTACACAAAAGGGCACTGACCTCCCCCTGATTGGTCACACCACTCCAGTGGTGACAGGAGTGGCCTTCTGTGTTGCCCACTCCTGGCCACTCTATCCTGGGCAACAAGGGGCCTAGCCCAGGGGACAAGGCAGGGGACTGGATGTCACAGCACAGTCACCGGGGAAGCCCCAGGCGGGGACACCACGCAAGGCTGGATGCATCTGACCATCCCAGTCACGCCGGCTGGACCTAAAGCCGGACAGAGGGTCGAGTGTGGTGGGGCCTTCTGGGAATGGGCTGTGGCTGCAGAACCTGACAGGCAAGGACATCCTGACCTCGACCTAGGGGTTTCCTAGGTTGTCATAAGAGGCAGTTGACCAGATTCAGACACAGCTAGGACACTCTCAAGTTCAGGCAAGCCCACAAAGCAGAGCATTTGGGTCTGTCCTACTGGTCTGTTTTCTGAGAGGCAAGGCCATGTCACTCACTATTGGGGTACAGGTACCCCCAGCCCATAATTTTGCATCGGGTTCCAGGTGGGAAGTAGTCATCAAAACTGGGCAGGGGAACAGCGGAAACTGAGTGATGAAAATGAGCAGGCGAGGCCAGCTTCAGCAGGGCGATGTCACTGTAGGCAGTGGTCAAGATGAACTTGGGGTGTGTGAAAACCTGTCGGGAAGGACACAGATGAGGAGGGGAGACTGTGAGCACTGGGCAGCTGGTTAGGGAACACAGATGTAGGTAGACCATGAGAAGAACTGAGGCCATCTGTGGCTCTACTCTCCCCATCAGAAAGGTCTTCTCTGCTCATCACCTCAAAACCACATCTGCCTCCAGGGCCCCATCAGTGGGTCTGAAATACCTGGGCAATCTTCAGAACTTCAATGTTAGCATCAGAGGCATTTACATCAAACAGCCCAGTCAGAACTCGGTCAGAGGCCCTAGAAGGAGCAGGCCGTAAGGATTGAGGGGGAGACCATCACCCTCCCTTGCATAGGCCTTTCTGGTTCTCACGTGATATTGCAGTGGGCGGCGGTGATCACCCAGAACCTGTCGATCAGGGAGCCGCCACACTTGAAGCGTCCAGTGGAAGTCTGTAGGAAGAAGGGAAGTTATATACCCCTAGAGTTTCAGTCACAACTACTGGGGTACAGTCCTGAATCCTGAGGACTGTAACCCATCATGACCCCACTCAAGGGCACACCATGCTCACCGCCAGAGACACGTGCCAAGGCCAGGCACCAGGAAGAGCATCCTTCCCATTGATGATCCTGGGTCTAATGTTCACCTCCGGGCCACTGGCAGGGGCCCCAGAGCCTTGAGTTAAAGTGGGAGGGGAGACGGTGGATGTCTAGTCAGTCTGCAGAAACTGGGTTATGACCTCATTTGCATGGAAACATCCCTACTGGCAACCTTGTACCCCACAAGAGGACACATTTGCCTGCTGGCCCAGTCACCCTCCAGGGATGCAAAGGACAGGTGTCTCCATCTTGGCCTCC